CACTTTTCTTGTCGCTCGAATTTGGAAAATTGAATTTGCCAACAACCTAGTTGTTATTTCCTGTCTCGTAAAGGTCGCATGCTGAAGAGTTAAGGTGGGAGAGCATGATAGAACAGGGGAACACGGATGATTTGGCCCAATAAGTTCTTACAGGTGGAGGGTTGTCTTCGCAACGTGATGTTAGGCATCATTCGAAGAAGGGCTACATGAGTTGTGGTACGGTGGTCTCCTTGAGAGAATGTTCCACGTAATTTTTAACATTGATCAGCTACCTTCCCGTAGTCGACTACTTTCCGAAAATGCCCTGTCCGTTGCAAAAAAACGCGAGCCTAGTCTTTCACGCAAAGGGTTCGTACTTTGGATGGGTTGAAGGGCCTTACAGTCGTTATCCCCGCAAACGATACTGCATGTGACGGAGCGTGGCTTAAAACGCAGCCGGGGTAGATTTCTTAGGCTGCGTTTATACTTTGCGGCAGCGTAGCGTAGCGCTTCCAGCGTACGTCAGCGGCAGTGCCGAAGAGAGGATGCATATCGATCTAGCTTCACCAGCGTCACCAGCGGCACGCTGGCGTAGCGAGGGCACGGGAATCATAGCTATCGATCTAGCTTCACCAGCGTTTCTCGAGCGTTTCTCCGGCGGCACCAGCGTTTTGCTAGCGCTTGCAGCGGCAAGGAGTAGAGACTATGTGGCCGTGAGAGACGCAGAGCGATGTGCATTGTAGAGATAAGGGCGAGTGAGAGACGCGCAATCGATGTGTTTTGTACCCTCCAGCCCTCCCATAGTCTCTACTCCCCTGCCGCTGCAAACGCTAGCAAAACGCTGGTGAAACGCTGGAGAAACTCTGGCGTACGCTAGCGTGCCGCTAGCGTACGCCAGTGTGCCGCTGGTGACGCTGGTGAAGCTAGATCGATATGCATCCTCTCTTCGGCACTGCCGCTGGCGTACGCTGGAAGCGCTACGCTACGCTGCCGCAAAGTATAAACGCAGCCTTACCAACAACGCACAGCATCGTGATGTCCCACCCCCTCCCACCCTCCCCCAACCCTACCCCCAATTTCCCACATTTTTTTATTTCTTCACTCAAAGGCTTTTTGTCGAGCAGGGAGGTATATAGTGCACATGAAACAGGAAAACACGCGACAAGTCAACAACCGAGAAAATTTTTTCCCAACCCCGCTAGTTTCTCTCAAAGCCACATATGACCCCATCTCTTCCAACAACCACCAAATACGACCCCTACCTCCCCAGTGGAAAAGTACGATCCCCCTATGTGCCCTATGTGTTTAACACAACGACTGTACCCTGCCTACCAATTCTAGCGAGCTCAGGATGACATCATTGTTAGAACAAAGCTGCTTGGACTGCGCACAAAACCGCGCCGCGTCTATCTTTGCAAGGACCACCGCAGCACTAGGAACAGTCCCAAATCAAAACGATCATCTATGATGAGGCATCTGACGTCAGACAGTAATTTCAGCGCTGATTTCAAATCTGTTTTAGCGGTCCGCAACATTTCTGCAGGCTTCCTTCGAGGGTGTTGGGTTTTTGGTCTCCGCGTATTGCAGGAAATAGGTCACGGGGTCGTATCCCTGCTATGCTTAACCTTTTCCTCTTCGCAGGAACATGGCACAAATGATCGCAATATCATCAACACAGCAGTTCTTACCCAAACTTGCCTGAAAACGAGCGACTACGGTTGGCGCTCTGTGATATATCAGAAAAAATTCAGCCGCTATGTCACCAGTTTCACAACAAAAGCTTTTACCAATTTAAGTCTCTCGCATGCTCCAGCTCATACTCAGGCGCTTTTGGGGTGCAAAACGGGATCTACATATGCAGGTGGGGGGGGGGGGGCAAAAAAAGTCACTTTTCTTCCTTGACCTTCGAGGCGTTATAAGTTACACTTTATAAAATTCTGATTGGAGAATTCTACCACCATAATCAACAGCATATTAAATACTATCATGACACACCGCCACAGCCTCCTGGACGAACGCCATCGAGAGATTCTGCCACACGACCGTGATTCGGTACCTGAGTTCAGCGAGATCGTTGATTTCTCCGCCACTGTAGACCATCCTGTTGAGCTCCGACTTGGATGTTCCCTCTTCTTCAGGTGCTCAACGCCCTTCGATCCTGAGTGGGCAAAAGTTTTTCCAACTCCTTCGATTGCATGTGGTGACACCCAATCCTGTAGCAATACGGAGTACGAAGATGTTAGGAGCTTCGACATAAAGGCTGGATATTCTCCCGGAGTTAGCCGATATAACCGTTAGCGCTCACCTTTCTGTCCAGGGTCCACGAAGGAAATATCGGTCTTTCCATTCCAGGAACTTCCGATCCATACCATCAACCCGCGCCTTGGCGACTGTGGTGAAGATGATGTCCTAGACCGAGGCGACTTTGTCGGAGCTGCTCGATGATGGAGGTCTTCCAGATCGAGAGTGCTGGTCTTCGAGGTAGCTATCCATGGGGGACTCCATACTAGACAGTTTCGCCAGCTGCTTGAAGGTGACATAAATTCCCGAAGGTCTTCTCTAGTCAGGTTGCGACTGGAGATGACTTCATATTTTGGTGTACATGAAGGTGATCGGCAAGAGCCAGCTCTTGCTTATCAACGAACATCTTTGGTATCTTCCGCCCTGGTACTCGTATCCACGTCCTCTGTCTAGGCTGCGAAAACTTTGCTGATATGTGACTCGTCGAAGTGACTTTTTTGGCTTCCTCTGTATGCATTACGCTGGCATTTCACAAGTGAGCGCCGAACTTCATACCACTCTGTGTCACGTACCTACAAAATAGAAAACCACCTTGCAAAATGATATCATTTTGTAGGGGTTCATGTCGCTTTATTGCCCTTATGTTGGCAGGAATTTGCATAACTACCTTCCCACTCCTCCTCCTCCCCCCCTCCGCTAAGCGGACTAGCGCCGAAGATCTTTTGGACAGTCAACCATGGTATTCAGACGTGATCGATCAACTCATGTGATGCCTAACCTCGAGAGATCAATATCAGGGAACGTCGTACGCTGAGGATCCTCAGCGGGTGGGGTGGGGGAGTCGTATTTGATCGCTGCCCGGAAGAGTAGTATTTGCCCTGAAGGAACTTTTTCTGGTAAGTGAGCGAAAGGAACCGTGTTCACTCTACGGCAGCACATTTCAGTCGGATGACGAGCGTTGGGGCTGGGGATGCTACTCGCCCAAGTGTCTGTTCAAAGAATACTTGTAACAGCATATTACATACTTGCAGTAACATTCGAACGCACTTGCTGTCTATTACATAAGCCGCCTTTATTCGATTTCTCACTTACATTGAGGTACACATTGAAGAAGGACCTCATCGAAATCAAGGTCACGCCAAAAGATGTCTCCGGGAAAGTAGCGACGTCAAACAAGAGTAGCGGACGGTGTGACGGCGCGGATTAATGGAAAAGCAAAAAGAAGAAGTTCATCCATAGAATGTTTTTGAGGGAATTTCTTCATTTGAAAGCACTTCACGCTTCAGGCTTCGTGTACAATAAAGTTACGTCACATATTATGTATACGCGATTAAGGAGTTCACACAGAGTGGACTAAAATCGGCCTAGCCCCATTTGCATATTCCTAAGAGCGCGTCCCTGGTTTGAAGTACGACGTAGGGTACATCATCGCGTTGGGCGGGTCCCTTGCTAAATAGGACCCTCTTCCAAATTTTCTTCCACGGTACAACTCTCTCTCGCTCCCTATCCACCAGTTTACCGAATCCGTTGCAAAACTGCAGTCGAGTTAAAGTTGGGTACGTAGTGCGTCTAGCGTGTCGTGCGCAACAGAACGTAAGCATAATGGCGTAAGGCAGCGTTCATACTTCGCGACGACGGGCCTCTACGCGTTACGATGTGCTACCACTGCGAAAGAAAACTAGAAGAGCACCGATTTGCTCCTTGAGTGAATATAGGATAATATGAGGGTAAGCATTCCTAAAAACACAATCTGGCATCGATCGGGGCCCGGTGCTAGTGGTTTGGAAAAGTATAGAGGAGTAGGATCCCAGAAAGTGTAGTTGGGCAGCACGTACCCTCCCATTCTCCTATACTCTCCCAAAACACTGGCGGCCGCGCAGATCGATCCGCCTCTATGGCTGCGTTCCCGTCTGTAGCAGTGGAGCGCCATTACAATGGAAACGCGTCGAAGCGCTACGTCACGCTCGATTCACTGTGGGGAAGTCTGATCGCTGCCTTGGCACTGACAGCCGCAGAGAATTCCTGCCATATGATACCAGGACCGAGAGGACATGATGGGCGGGGTGTATGTCGTCATGCTCGAGTCGAGGCGAAGGAACCGTTGCGGGACCCAATGCACTCAAAGTGGCAGAGCTGCGGCTCGACGACTCATTCTGTCTCTTACGTCAATCAGCTAGGAAAGGATCTGCTGTGTGTGAAACGTCGCGACTCGAAAGTTCACCCCAACAGGCGAGTGGGCGGGGTTATCTGGTACCGCGGGGCCTCACAAGGTAGGCGCATATCTCTTGAAATGCAACCTGACGACACGCATCAAACACAATTAGCAGTTAATGACTTTGTACAGAACTTACGATTACAGCAAAACTCAAACATATACAAAAAGATGACAATAGTAAATAGCACTAAAATGAGATCACGGTCCTCTATGGAATTTTCAAAGAACAAGTACATTTGAAAGAGACTGGAGTGTTCCGTCACAGGAGATGACTAGATAATTGACATAGGATAACAATGGTTGATAACGTCGCAATCAGTCGGGGCGGTGTCAGGAGGGGCGGACATAGCCCGCCTCTGGCTGCCTTCATCTACCACTGGTGATCGATTAGCGATCGTTGAAGGAAGAAAACAGTCAGTGGCGAGAGCGCCGCCGGTGGGCTCATTCCCTCCCTCTTGAAACCACCCCGACTGATTGTGACGTTATCAATTGTACAATAGAGGCTAATAAAAGGTGAATATATTGGAATGCATAACAATTAAGTAAAAAAATCATCTATTTTAAACTACAAGTGCTCTTCGCCTTCTATTCGCATCAGCTCTTCATAGTATTGATCGACATTCTGCCATTGAGGAGGTGTGTTCGGATCGATGTCGATGTTATCACAGCGAAATTCTTCAAATTGACCAACAAATGGTACTGTAGGAAGCCCTGAAATAGATCAATAACCTTCTTGCACTGCAATTAGTTTCAGTTTCAAAGAGCGCCTCACAGCGTCAATAATCGTTGGTTCGAATTCGCCTGTAGGAAGCTTGATAGTGCAAAGCCTGCCTAGGGTTCTCCAAGAGCTTGAGGGGTATTTGCAGAATACGAGTTATTATCGTAATTCATTGTTAACATTACATACACCAACTCTTCTTATGATTTTGAATGGAAGCGAGATGCGTGGCGTGCGAAAACACTGACCCCTCCAGTATTCAATTCCTTAACCACGTGTGGTCCAGGAGACCAATCCCTGATTCCTGCCTGGGACGACCATGCCTTATATTCCATAGGGACCTTGAATCGGATACCTACCCGTCCATTAGGTCAAAAACAGTATTGTACCGGCTTTCACTCGCAAGGACCATTGCGAAGGCCAAGCTGCTTTCAATAGCCGCTGCTGTTTTGAACGGAACCGGAGTGCGCGGCGTATTCCAATGAGGGATTCTCGAAGGTTCTACCCTTTTACACTTTCATCATGTCACCCCTGTGTTGATGCGTAGATAATTAGTAGCATAGGCTACATGAATCATAATCCTAAATGAAATGATGTCATAAAATTTGTTTTGAATTATATCACCAACAAAACCCCAACCTCCACTAAAATCAGACATAAATTTCCATGAAAAATATCAATTTGAAGGCAGTGTGATGTCAGATGAGGGCCCCTAACTGCTCCCACAGTGACAGGATCAGACTTCGGATTCAGGGGACTCAGGCAAGCAACAGTTCCACGGTTGAACAAAAATGTTAGGCTCGTCTTGGAGGATAAAAACAGTGATTCATACATCGGATACCCCAAAAATTCATTGTAGGCCAGATCACTTCTTAATGACATGACGGTTCTTAATAGTAAGAAATCACGGTGCATTCTGAAAATCACAGTGGAACCGCGCTCGAAAATATACCGTGGAGGATATGCTTTCCCTGTGCGAGGTGGGTGGGTCTGCAGCTGCAGTAGCGTGCACTTTCTAGCTCAAAATGCACGGGAACAGGCCGGAAGGTAGGGCCCTCCGGTGTCGCTACACTCCGCCCGAGTTGTCCTCACTGTGTAGCCGTTCATTCGATACCAAGGTTCCGCAGCGAAACTCGCACTCAACGGCAAAGAATAACAAGAGCTGAGAGGACGTAGACAAATAGCGCGCTTGACTACGATAAGTCGTGTGGGTGGTCGCACCACAGCGCGGGCGTAATATGGAGACGGCTCTGCGATATCACTACATTTCTGCCCCGTTTAAGTGCAATTTTAACTGAAGAAAAGGAAACGCAATCGCAGCATGCACATGACAAAGGCCAGGGCACACTGAGATACCCTCAGAATTCCGGAAAAAGAGTGGGCGTGACTGCGTGCTTTTTTCAGGCCCGTTGCCTCTGCGCTCAGTAGAACACTACCGTTTTGAGGCAACATGTCCAGTACACAACATTATGGCAGTTGTCTCAAATGGAAATACATCACGAAAAGCGCATCCTACGCCACGATCATGGAAAGTGAGCGAGCACGCCCCTTTCGTTTTCGGGATATACAGTATAATCGTACAGTTTGTTGTTGAATCGTTCCCTTTTCCTGCAACTTTTGCACTAACCTTCGAGATCATAGCCTGAGAAATCACTCTGCCAGGTATATTCCGATGACATGCCTTGTTCATCAGACGAGAAACCGACATCAGAGAATGATGACTCGGAGAGATCCATCTGTACGGACGAACTAGCAGGTGAGTTGTTTTCATCTGAATTGATACGCGGATAAGAGACAAAGTCTGAAAAAAGAAAAAAAGGTCTTTTTCACTCACAATTCAAAAGCACGTGGTCTTCCCAAACAGTGGAAGCACCCTCGTCAAACAAAGATATGTCTGAAAAATGAACCAAAATGAGACTTGATATAAATGCAAGATTCGTAGCATCAAGAAAGCTTTATTTCTCCAGCCCAATCAGCCGGAAATGAAATAGCGAGCCAATTAATTTACCCTGAGGAGCAATAGGTTTATGTTGACTTCGAATCGTATCCATGTACTGAAGTACGGCAGTATTGACACGAGAGGCTGGCTTTGCAGGACACTCCACTGTCGTATCGGTAACGCATTTAATCCTGACTTTCTTAGTTGGGACGTTCGTCGCAGCTTCACTGAACACGTCCAGTACAGATCAAGGTTTTCAATATTACAGCTAAAATATTAGGGATACCTGGCATCGTTAAGCTTCCAGTATGAACCTTTTCCTTTCTCGCCGTTTTGTCGGGGTATCCGCTTGAACAACTGATTACAGGACAAGTTGTGGCGAATTGAGTTCTGGAAAAGTTCTATCTAATACCACTAGATAGCGTAAGCTGCCTAGCCGAACAGCTGCTAGAGATCTAGCTCATAGTGGCGCATTTGGCATTGTTATCTCTTCCTGAACCTAACGTTGAGGAGAAACGATAGTGAAACAGGTGGCGCCGTGCTCTGAGGATTCCTCGGCATGAGGGAGGATCCTGGTTACGTCCCAACCGCTAAAAGGAAACTGGCTAGTTGTGGGGAAGGCTGGGAGCCACTGGTAAAAATTTACTGTTTCGCGTGAACTGCGCAGGAGTGCGCGCAAATGGTGGCTGACATGTATGTTACCAATAACTGGAATACAACACAACTAGTATCACGCAACTGGCATCTCCAAAGAAAGTGGTGGGACGGATTTGATTGCAAGAAAAGCTATTTCTAGATGTGCTGATGCCTACTGTGGTTGTCGTCGCAATCAGTGGGGGCGGGGTCAGGACGCATGGAATGAGAACACAGGCGGCACTCCCTTTCACTGGTTGCCTTCTTCCTGAATCGACCACTAAGGGATCACTGTGGCTAGAAAAAGCTGCCAAAGGTGGGCTGATCAAAGTACGCTCTCCTGACCTGCCCCGATTGATTGCAACGATATCATCTACAATAACAGCATAGTACTCTCCAAAATTACACAACATAGCTTGCAAATCAGCGGAAGAGATAATTTCCTGACACATCATCGCTAAGGAAATCACAGGGGATCGTATTTGGCCGCTGGGGAGGGTGTGTCGCCACACCTCCCCAACGGCCAAATACGTCATCTTCTGTCGCCACTCGTCTGTCATCTTCACCACTTTTCTCTAGACATGACACGTCGTAATTGTGGACCCACCGCGAGGGGGTTAGGCTCGTATTAAGACATGTGATGAAGATCTTTCCTTCTCTCGGGTGTTGACTTTTTCAGTTTTTTCCCGCTTCAAATGCGCTATATACTCCTCCCTTCCTTTTTATGAGAAAAAAAAAGAAAATTACCCCATGTGCTGGATGATACATCTGAAGAGACCCTAACTGAGGCCAATCTACAGTGTTTTGGATCATCACTGTCGTGCCATTACTAGCATATGATATCAAGTCAATAAACCTCTCTGTGACTACTGTGCCTCTGCAATCGTCTGCCAATCGTAACAGCCATATAAGAAAACTTCTTTCTGGTTTCAACGGTCGGGAAGTACAGTCGAAAACATATTTCGCAATGGCAAGTCGCACGTAAGTTAGTCCAAATATAAACTCGCAGTTACAGCAAGGAAAAACGCAGAAAATATCGTAGAAATCATCCTAAATAAGGAGCTCGTGGCGGAGTTTATTTTTGACCATTGGACCAGCATATGAAAACCCGAGAGGCGAAAACAATTACAAGGGATAAGGGACAATGTACGGAGGTCCGAGGACAGGAAGTAAGCGACGACGAAGATTCAAGCAAAAGCCAGTCAACGTGGGCTGGCACGGACCTGCTGGGCACAGGTCGTGCAGCGCGCTCTCCATTCCAGCCGCGGAAATGGCGGAGGTAACATTCAAGCTTGGAGAGCCGATAGTGCATGACCCACTACTTCGAGCTGGCAACCGTGTGAATGCCGTTTAAAGATGGCTTCCTTGATAAGTCGGTTGGTTAGAATGAACGTAGAGGTTGAAACGAAGTGAAACCAAGCTGTGAACACTCGCAAACTTATGTCTTACAATTAGTCCACTGCCTCTGACGACACTTTTGCGAGCAAGCACACTGCTAGAGTACTTAGAAGAAATCATCGCTGGCTTCATGCCAACCATCAAAAAGGCAACATTGTGACGACTGTAAAAAAATCGGAACAAATATGGGCTTCGCGCAACTATTACTATCCCCAAAATTCTGGGAAAAATTCCTCGCTCAAAGAGGGACTTTAGGGTTTATCCAGTGCCCTGATTACGAATACGATGAGCCGCCCTCTGGGTGTCCACGTCATTTGAGGTCTCCACCTTTTTTTCATCGAAACCGATACAAGCTTGCGTGTTGGACTTATTTGTGTCCTGATAAGGGATGTGACATAAGACTGGCGCCGAAGCCATTCGGTCGACGCTGGAGTAGTACCGGCACTAGAAGCCATTGAACCATCCCGGCACCGAGTGGCGTTGGCGCCGAAATGGTATCACGACTCTCCCAATTCATCACTGTTTTGCACTGCAAGTTAGTTGGGAACACAAGAACGAACATAACATTCATTTTCGAGCGCCAGCGCCATGAAGCGCCCTGCTAAGGCTGACCACGAGAGGAGGAACGATTCCCTCAAAACATCGAGGAAAATTCTTGGAAAATCAGGTACACCCTCAAAATTTCTCACCTGCTCACCACTCCATCGCCATCCGACCAACCGTGCTCCTGAGATTTCACAACTTGTTCCCTCCTTCCCGGAAATTTTCCCAGATACACCCCAAAAAACTGCCTTCAGCCAGTAGAGCGGAGACAAGGGGTGCATAGTGCATTTCAAACAGGAAAACAAATAGAAGTCAGCAACCAAGTACATGTTTTTCTTCAAAAGCAAATGTGACCTCTGGCAAATGAAACCACCATGTTCATGACTAAGAGTAAGCTAGAGTGCCTTTTGCCTGAATTTTGGTGAACAAATTGGTAGCATCAAGTTTGCGTTGACAGTATTCTGGCCCAACACGGCGCCGGCGCAAGACGTGAGTGTCATATTTGCAACAATTACATGAAATAATAACAGAAGTATCTAAGCTTACCCCAGTACCGATTTTGATGAACAAAGTGGTGGCGCCAAAGACGATGTATATGATAATGCTGCTTTAATCAGCGCCGCAGTACGCTTTCGAATGTTACACAAAGAATGCTGAGTTGTGGGCAAAGTCGTGCCCCACGGCGGAGTCGAACACCGCACCTCCACGCTTTCCGGCGGCGGCTACCGTTCACGCCACCAGGTCCGCTTTACCCTCTCAGCTCAGCGGCTTTTATGCCGTAGCCTATCAGCACTCACAGTTGGGGCACGACTTTTGCCCACAACTCAGCATTCTTGTGATAACACATGTAATGTTCGTGATAAGGTACTCAGACCCAACCGACTTTCACAGATAATCTCAAACATCGCGCCATCCAAAATGCCATGCAAAGGATGGCAACTCAGGATAGAACCACACAATATACTTCAAATTCAATCCCACTGATCCCACAGTATGTTGTCAAAAATCAAGTCTGAAGTCAGTAACCATAGCCGTTAGCTGGAGTATGGCTGCAAAGATTCAAGCGGACGTTTGTTGGGAGAAAGACCGTTGAGGATATAAGACCTTGCTAGGTCGATTTGAGCGTGCTTCTTGCGAACCGCATCACACACCGTCAACTTATGAATCCGATTACTATTTGCACTGAGTTTTCTTCTATCCGTGAGACGTGGTAGGCGTGGCATTCGAACACGGCACAGGAGTGGTTACTCGTGTGATATTTCAATTTGAGGCAACCGCCATCTTTTTCTTTGTTGGACAGAGATGACCACATTTGGGTCAAAATGATAAGATCTCTCTAAAAGCATAGCCACCACCACGTTCAGTTGAACCACACAGCCACGCCTACCTCATCTCAGGGATTTCTAGTGTAATTCATGTTCGTATTTTGCGACCACAGCTGAGGATGTACAGTCCTCATCATTGCGGACCGGTGGGGCGTGGCAGTGCGGCTGCTTTGGTGCGGTTTGGCAAAATCGTTCTGCACCAGTTTTTGAAGCGAACAAGTGCATTACTGTATAATATCCTTCGTATCACTCTTTTTCTACCACTTTTGTCGCATACGCGTTGCAAAAAAAAGGCTGAGAACGGCTTCAACAGTGTGCGCACTCCTTCCGGCTGGCACACCCCACCGGTCCGCAATGATGAGGACTGTAGTTATTACCTTTTTTTACAGGGCGCTATATGCCTCATAGGGGAAGTGCGTCAGCTGGGAGGGTATTCTGCCTTCGTCAACTTTTCAGAAATAAGGATTGCTTCACCCAGTCTGGAATACCCCGAGCCCTCAAAAGTTCCAAGTTACTTAAGCATTAACGCAAAATCGCAGACTGTCATGCCGAGGCACACAACACCCTTAGCTTCCGTGGTAATCACATCACTGAAATCAGTTTGTGTCTCACAGGAAAATAGGGCTATTTTCAAAGAACAGGGCTTGAACATTGATATGAAAAAGGTTAGCGACGTAGCGAAGCAGCAGAATGGTAGAGCTAACCGAATTTCAAAAAGGGGCATTGCAACTAGTTCCTAGTAGAAAAAAGAGGAAAAACAAAAGGAAATGTGCAAATTAAAGACTTGTCGATTATGGAGAGAGGAAATTGCACGTAATGAGGTAATTATAGCTAACCTTCCACGGTCCCTTTGAGCTTCTATAATAGGCGTAACGTCGGGCTGCATATTCGTAAATCTCAGAAAGCGTGATTTTTTCCACCTGACGTTCTGCCATTGCATCCATAATTAGTTGAGCATAACTCAACGGTGGTTTCATGTTTGTCGAGTGATAATCGATTTCACCTGCCGCCTATAAAAAGCCCATTATTGATTAAATAAATAGGAAAAATAATAGTGGCGGAAGTGAGTTGTAACTTACCGCATCGACAACTGGCTGTGATTGTTGAGACGATCGTCGTTGCCTTTTCCTTGAAAAACCGAAAGATTTCTGAAAAGGTTGACCATTGCTCTTTTTCGAACAAACTAGCTAGGGTCTTTGCAGTAATCACCTTTGTCCATTGGACACCGGGAGCTGAAGCAGGAAAATGAACCTTTTTTGGTAGGACCAGCGTCGGAGAGCAAGGTGAAGGAGCTATATTAAGAAACCAATCGACATCCGGTAGTCTGTCCGAATAAAGTCCTACCATAGTGTCTGCAAAGCAAGAACGATTGTCTCAAGCTGGCGCTGAAATTAGTACTGCACGTTAAGAACGCAAAGTTTAAATTGTAATTTGTCCTGCCAAGGAAGTTGGCAGGTGGGAGACTTTATTGAAAATGGCCTGAAGTCTCGACAGGATCTTGTCCTGAGAGGTCAGTCCACCACCACATGAGTGAAACGGTACCACACTCTCCGCAAGCTGTAGTTAGTAAGACTCACTGACCTCTGAGGACGACGATCCTGTCGAAACGCCAGGCCGTTTTCAATGAAGTCTTCGACCTCCCAACCTCTTTGGCAGAATAAATTACAACTTAAATGTTCACAATAATGAAGAGGTTTTATAAAGGGAGAAGCTGGACACTATTGAGCAAATTAAAATTTAGCATGAGACGGAAAGTAGCCATGGATAACGCCCTATGAGAGAAAGTCAATTCTATGAATGGATGAATGAGCCCAATTTTAAACAAGGCTAAGGCCCACGTATGCTGGAAAAGTGTACCGGTGTATTCAAGCGAACGTAAATTGGGTCGAACGATGATTCCGTTATGGCGTGGACAAGGAGGCAGGTGCGTGCGTATGGAAAGGGGCTACCTGACTATACCCTCTGAGCTCTCCATCTCTCACTACCTCGTCTCCGATGAGGTCTGTGTGAAGCTCGTTAACGTGCACCTGTCACTGAGTCTCAGCTGCAAGCCTCAGATATGGTGGTGGACATCACAGTGGACGTTAACGTCATCTCATCGACAACCTCTCGACCAGCCCCGTTGCTCGCCGCCCACGGGCAACCCTCTAGCAATAGCCGCACGTTCACTCTTTCCATTTGCACACATCATTTGCTTATGCCGCATGCATGCATACACACACTCACTTGTGAAACCCTCCGCCGCATGGTCATTAGGTCAACGCCGATGAAATTACTCATTACTAGTCTCGTCAAGCCGATAATGCTGTGATCGCACACCTTAAATGAGCACCCCCAGCTAGTCGTTGAAACCTGCTGGCCACTGATTGTCTGCGTAAATGCACACAATCAACGGCCATCTATTACCTCATATTCATATTCAATTTATTGCAAGTCACATAAAGCTGCATTCGAACGCATGTTACGTAGGCAAAATAGGTGGAATACAAGGACGAAGCAAAGAACGGTGCAAGGCACTCTCGGAGCTCTACTGGGGCCCTTCATATCCTGGGCAGAAATCAAGCATGTTGTTCGGAAAGTCCTGATGACAGACCCCGCGCCTGGATACAGCGAATAGTGTCGTTCAGTTACAATCCTATAGTTGCTAAATGACTATCCAAGGAAGAAAAAATCAAAAAAATATCATGGAGAATACTCTAAGTGAGGACGGGGCGGCCTATGTGGACGAGTTCTTCGGATCTGCCCGAATTATGCCAGCAAGGCGATATCCAAGGGTCTCTGGTTCACAAATCGTTTCTTCGCGTCATCGAACTCTAATACCATCTGCTTGTGAAAAATAACGAAAAACACTGTAACAGAAAAAAGTGACAGCAAAACGACTATTTGATTTGGTGGGAGGAGCAACTAGGGAGGAGGCAGAACTGCCGCTTAAGAGTTACTCCCCCTAGTGAGCTTATGAGTGGTCCGTAGCGCTCTAGGTACTTACTGTGAAACCGCGAAAAAGAGATAACCGTAGAGAATGAGGAACAAAGTAGTTGTGCAAGGAAGGACGCCTCTTTGAGCACAGGGATTGTCTTTGAGTGAGCAACGAGCAGGTTCCGTTTAAATCCTGATGAGCTTCTCCACTCTTCTTGAGATCCATTGAGGAAGTGAAGGAAACTCACAAGAAGGCCTTACAAATTTGAGCAAAGGCCTTATAAATTTGACCAGCCACTTCAAAATGGCCGAGGTATGAGCAGACATTTGATAGGGGTTATAAAAAAGATTCTGAAATTGAGCCTGATGCAACATATTGTACCATTTCGCAAGGTACTGCAAAGTCTGAACTACTACTCAAAAATTACAAAAGCTGTCAGCGAAAGGGTTAGGTCAAACCATTTGACACCTTGTTATATCCCTCCCCCTCGAGTCATTTGTAGAATTCTTTATTTCCTGGCTCACAATTGCTTCTTCCCACACTCCAGTTCGACGGATTGCACAGCGTTAGAAAAAATACGCTTGGAAATCGAACTATTACTATCCCATAGATCTGCAGAACTTTGCTGGACTGCACCTTCAAGGCCGCTATATTGGACTAAGTTCTGTCGGGGTACATCATCGTTGTGCCAACACAGGGGAGACTTGTGGCCCTCGGGTCTGGGAGAGGGGGTCATAGCTGGTCTGGTGAGAGATTTCCCGATCTTCCCCGTTACATCCGTTTCCCCCGTTCCCTTCATGCCTGTGTATGTAACTCCCCAGTTAGGTGCTTTACAACTGGTAGTACTCCTGGTAGTTAACTGTCGGTGTGTCTAGGTCCCACATGCCTCTGGCCCTCATATTAGGGATGTTGTAGAATGGTGCGTAGGTTGTGAGAGGGGTCATACCAAAGGAAAAGCTTGAGGGGGGGGGGTCGTATTTAGGGAATCTTTTACACAACGTGACGTGCCTTGGAGCCAATCAGAGCACTTTTATTGGGAATCCTGCCTTTGGGAGGAATCTTTCCATTTTTTCACTCTTCTCGATTTTTTCCCTTTTCACATACGCGCTATATAACCCCTCCCCTCCTCCCCCTCGCTTGCCGGCAGTTCCTAGGGAAAAGTGGAGGGTTTTTGGTAAAAACTGCAAAAAAGTGATGGGAAGTTGGGAAAACGGAAGGGGAAATATGTAAGAAGGAAGGCGAATGGAGGAAGGGGATCGTAGGAACAACTTCTGAGAGGGGGGGGGAGTGGGGGCTATTCCGCAATATCAACATTTTCTCCAACAGGAGACATGCCCTTGGACCGATATAGCCTTATGCTAGATCAAACACCTGCGGATAACAGCAATTTCAACAGACTGTGCATCAGACTGCGAGTAATTCAGTGTGATTCTGGTAAGCTGAATATGTGTAACGTAATTCCGGAAGAATCATAAGGCGTACAGCAGGTGAATGTGAATACGAAGAAAACACTGAATTTGTATCTATGATATCATAAAATGTGAAAGCGCTGTGACTGTGTATAAAATGCAGAAATAGGGTCGTATAGAAGACGTGCACAGTTGACAGACAGCACCTCCATACACTGGTAGATTTTTTCACGGGAAAATAATAAATTTTGTAAGTTTCAAGCTGTTATTGTTTGATAACCGCTGTTTACCGCCGCAGTACGCGATCCGAAAGCTATCACAAGAATGCTGAGTTGTGGGCAAAAGCCGGACCGGACGGGATTCGAACCCGCATCATCGGCTTACTGGGCAGTTGCGTTCCCTATTACGTCACCGAGGCTGCTTTTGACTACTCAGCTCAATGACTATTCATGCCATAGCCTTACAGCACTCACACGTTTAAAGGCACATTCCGCGATAAAATAAGGCTATGACCTCTCAAATGTGTCGAAAGATCCGGAAGGCGATTTTTGAGGCTGCGCTACTTTCAAAATGTGAAAAACGGCAACAACTCCGCTAGAAGCTGACTAATTAGGCCCATGGACACCCCTTAGGCCCATGCCGACCCTCACCGGCTGCTAGCTACTAGCTAGTAGCCACTATGTTATCTTTCTCTGTAACATTTTAATCAGATACTTAGCACTTTTTTTTGTGCCTATTTGAGTTTCCCGTTACCGCAATTCGCGGTCGCGAACTGTGCCTTTAACGTGGTGAGCCGGTTAGCCGATATCGGCAGTGAACAGCAAGGCTGAAGGCTTTTTGCAAGTTTCAAGCTGTTATTATTTGATAACTGCTGTTTAACGCTGCAATATCAAACAATAACAGCTTGAAACTTGCAAAAAGCCTTCACCTTGCGGTTCACTGCCGATATCGGCTAACCGGCTCATCACGTTAAACGTGTGAGGGCTGTAAGGCTATGGCACAAATAGCCAGTGAGCTGAGGGCCTGAGGCCTGCTCAAAAGTGGCCTCGGTAGCGTAATAGGGAACGCAACTGCTCGGTAAGCAGAAGATGCGGGTTCGAATCTCGTCCGTGGTCCGACTTTTGCCCACAACTCAGCATTCTTGTAATAAATTGTGTGCTGTGTCGTCTCGATGCCGTACTGGGGCTCAAACGTGTCACAACCTAGGCAGAAATCAAGCATTTTGAGAAAAGAAAAGAGAAATCAAGCCTCAAAAGATTCGGAAAAAGTCCTCCAAATTTTAAGGAGTTCTGCAAGTCCTTCAGGGCCCTCTTAGACCTTCTGACATAAATTCATAACATCTACTATGTTGTGAGATGTAACAAATACAATGCGAGCAACTACTGAATAAGACTGCAGTGATGAACGAGATCGGCCCGATGCCCTGGGGCGGCATTGGTGAATCAAGTAATCGCCTTACGAAAGCCTACTTTGTGATTATATGGAAACCTATAAAGTGGCGGTTGCTGAGGAAAACAAAAACTAACTTGTTCGACCATCAAAACAATTTAGTAAAGAAAGAAACGAGACAGTAATCATAGTAGATTGATTGAACAATGCCATGAGAATGACAAGCCGTTCATTTTCCTTACTTAGAATTCCAGTACTTGAAGCTACTCAGGTACAGGACTGGCAAAATGCTGAAACGAAAACAATTTTTTGAATCACGCGCTAGTAATTAGAGAGAGAGCGGAACGCTTATGATTAGTTTGTGACGGAGCACGAGCAAATGGCGTGGAAATGATTGCCCAGACTCAACTAAGGAACACTTCAAGGGGGCCCTAATGAAATATGGCGAGTAACAGTGAGATCAATAAAAATATAGCCCGTAGAAGTTGATTCTGTGAGACTTGAAGACACATTCCGCTATTGCCGGTGGTGGCTGGTCCGATCCAAATATGGCTTGGTAGGGTTAGTGTACTCACTTTTAAAGAAGAAGCATGAAGAATCTTCCAAGAACAATTCGTCAATGAACGCGGGTT